TTCAAAACATAAATAACTATACAAAACCAATTAAAAAATAAGGTTTTGCGATCTCCATATACAGAAAATGCAACCACCTTTGGAACTGTTTTTGCGCCGACTGTATTTTTACATGTAACCTATCATCTACTTTTAGGAAGTTTTAACGAAAAACTTACGGTACTGTTAACTTTAACAAAAAATTACATTTTTACACTAACAAGTCAATCCTGATACTATTTATTTTACTTTTTATTTTATCTTTATCATTAAAACTCAAAATTTTCAAATCTTTTTCATTAATTTTTCTTTACTTTTACCAAGAAAGCTACAAATGCAGCTATCAATGTCTTAAACCAGAAGCTGTCGGGAACAGGCGTAAAACATACAAAAGTTATGCAACCAACAAATATATCCGAATCCCATAAACTTCCAAACCACCTCATGTCACGGCAGTTTGATATATCATCAAAGCATGCAATGCACCACCATTGGCATAAAAACCACCCTCACATCAGTTTCATGTCCTTCTCATCATATTAAGGTCAAGCCCATAGTTTTTGGTGACAGCATAAAAGGTTCATCTTCAAAATAACTTCTCGAATTCTACATCGAATCATGCATCAACTTGTTAATTTCTTACACGATCCGTTAACTCGATACTAAAAGGTACAAAAATAACAAGCTCGGGTCAACCTGTTAATGAGTTGAGTTATTATAGAGTTACCCGTTAAGGAGTTGAGTCGTTATTGAGCCACCTAGTAAGAACCCGATAAGATATCATTTGCTATATCTAGACATTAGGTATAACAATTTTTTGCTTGACTGTTAACCCGACACAAAATGACACAAACACAACAAATACGACCCATTTTTCAGGACTTGAGATGCACCCATCTATCCGAAGAATTGATTTGCTTTAACTTAATTTTAATATGTTCAATCTAACTGTTCAAATACTGGTGCATTTCCATCCACTAGTGTAATGTAGGAGAACTCGGAACTTTCTCCCACCAAACGCACCCCGAAGAATCATAGACCTCCTCGTCTCTCTCTCTCTGATTTAGCTTTGTTGTTGGATTTTAAATGTGCTATATACACACACTATACCCGAAAGAATACCATGCATGCAGACTGATGTACATATTTACCTCTAGCAGTCTAGCTATTGGTTTATCTTATCGTCTATGGCTTCGTACGTGAAATGATTTTGTGGGCTGTTTGCATGTGTAAATGTACTGTATTGCACGATCCCTTATGTCTCTTACGAGATTTCCATCACAATTCGATCGTCCTATTCATTATTACAACTTTAATGAAAGAAATATTTACGGACTGAGAAATCTTAGATTTTGTCGATATGCCTATAGAGGATTCACAATCTTTCATGACATGTGTATAATCTCATGTCATAAGTTTTATCAAATCAACAGTTCACAATTGTTAATACATGACCTACATTATGATTAGTGGCGGATTGAGACCTAGGTGGTCCAAGATCATTCGGAGTTTAAAAAAATATACATGTGAAGAGTCTTTCGATGGCTCTCTAAATGTTTGGTACAGAACATTTTATGCCCATAAAGTGTTTGAGAAAATACCTCTTGCATGTTGCGTGGGCAACACTTTTCAAATTATTTCAATAGTATTCATCAGATTACTTCGCCGTATGTTAATATCGATTGAAATGTGCGTAACTTAGTTTGACTGACGACAACAAGCTCACCAAGTGTTCGATGAAGTGCCTCAATGAATAAACTAAATTTTTTTTTCTCGATTTGTGTTATGTTTCTATCTAAAAATTTGATCACCTTTAACATTAAAAATCATCAAGATTATAATCCTAGATACGTCAGTGTCCATGACATGTGTATATTTTATATCATAAATTTTATCAAAATTAACGGTTACATAACCTATCAATCTACGATGGATGAGGTAAATTTACCTTTTACCTTTTACGATTTGCATTTACTATGAGATACTTAAAAAGGAAGAGGAGATAAATAAAACAAAGAAACTGTCATTTCATCCACAAGTGGCAACACGAGAGGTTGGTCGGAAAAGATGAAGTGAAAAGGATAGAGTGCGATTGCATGGAATTGGGCCAACATGCACCTTGGAGAAAGTCCAAAGACCTACCTTTAACCCAATAAGAAAGCGCGTTACTTACACGTGCATTGACGAAAGTGTAACTCTGCGTTCGGGCCGAACAAGTAACCCGTCTTCCCGCGCAAAATGAGACCCCAAAAGATTCCGCGGCTCTGTCTCCACGGCGCTCGATCGGCGCGCGGCGGGAACGTCGAGAGAGAGTGAGAGACACAAGGTCTCGGCGCATGCGCGCTTTCTGTGTGTTTTGGTTTGGCTTGGCTAAACAAAGTCCTCTTTGAGCTGAGCGTCACGTCGCATTCAACGGTGCCCCTACACGCATCTGCTGGGCCCCATCCTTCCGGTCGCTCTCGGTCTCAGCGGTACGATTAAGTCTGACTCATGATTAGGAGCCGCGCAATTCACTCCGTGATTTCCAAATAGCCATTTTCCCTCTTCGCTCTCTCTCTCGCTTCCAAATTATGTACTGTAAATCTGTGATCGTATACTTTTGACTTGTTTGTTAAACTCTTAAGTCAAGTGAGAATTGGACGACATTTTTATGTATGATATACGGCTAATAAATGAATGGAGGATTGAATGTATGGTTAAGAATTTATCGATTTCCCTTCTTTATGATTGATATGTTGGTGTATGTAGTACACATAAATGCATATTTCTGAAAGTTGTAAGGAGTATGTATTCCTATAGTCATGTTGACGTGGTGATGTGAGAAAATATCTTGCATTAGAAAGCAAGAAATTTTGCAGATTTATACGAAGTTGCAACCGCGCTTTCCTTGTATTGGTAATTAATTTTAAGGTGAAATTTCAAAATTCCTTTATATATATATATATGTAGTATCATAGTGGGTTTACTCATGTATGAAGCATTGCGTTGTACATGTTCCACATCAACTAGTTAAAATGTTCATGTCCATAGACCTCGGACTTTAATAGTGTATACAGTAGGCTAAGAAAGGGTATTATCGTAATTTTGAAGGAAAATTCCAATCGAAGGGATTGTCCTTTGGTAAAATCCCTAGTGGTTTGAGTACATATATATATTTTAGTGGTTTGAGTACATATTTATTTTGTAAAGGATAATGGTCATCGTACGATCCTTAATGGCTGTTTCTCCCTCGTGGTCCTAACTGATCATGGGTGAAATATGTAGTGCACCTCCAAACAAATAAGTTCTAACGAAGATCTCAAAAGATAAATGACCGTCAAATTTTATCAAGATAATCCAACATATTTAAAGGGAATATCTAAAAGCAAAATGCTATTCATGGACATATATAACATATTTAGAACCTAACTGAGAGTGTATGTGAGAAGATAAAAAAGAATGTGCAAATAGCACTACCCCTATGTTTATATTTACGTAAAAGAATTTGACGGGCATTTATTTTTAGATCGATGCACATTTGAGAAGTGATAAAATCTCTAAACAGTCAAACTCTAAGTATCCATGCAGATGAAGATATGTACATGGCTAGGTAGCTTGTTGCTGGTTCAAACAGTCTTGGCCAGAACCCGCGTGTTGAGACTTGAGAGCCTTTGAAAAGAGAAGCAGCAACTAGCAACTAGTACTACTTATTCAGACCCTGTTGCATTATTTATCTCTTTACAAATATTACATTACCAACATCCATCATTATATATGACGACGACACATACAGAGAGAATGATAGAGAGAGAGAAAGAGAGAGAGAGAGAGAGGACCACCCGTTTTTGATCTTTGATGGCTCTCTTCACCATCACCATATATCTCTGGATTAACCCTACAAATTATTCTAATTTTTCTACCAATTTCAAGATCTTTGTCAAAGTTTCAAGGCGAAGATCTTTTGAGTAATGTTAGGTAGACCAAATTTGTTTACAAAGAGAGTACATGGAAGATTTGAACTTGAGATGTAATAGGTTGAAGAGAAAAACTCTATTCATCGAGAAAATTAAGCATATTTAGAATGAGTATAAAAAATGTATAAATTTAATGGTTTCTGAAACTGGCAGAGTAATTGCGTACGTGAAGAACCGCATGCATATTTATTCTTATATACGAAGGGTTTAAATTTGGGGGGAAGGCATATGACAGAAGAGTGGGGAAGGGAATGAGATGAGGCTGTGAGTGCCTGAGCGAAGGACAACGAACCATCTTGGATATATAACTTGTGATATCGACTGTGTTGGCTTCACTACTTGGTACCACGTAGGCAACCACCCCCAAGCTTTTTACCCCGTGGCTCGGACTGTCGATCGATCGGACCACACTACTGGTCTACTGCCTTCCTAGCTTTCCCCAAATAAGATAGGAAATAACGATGGGGCATTCGACGTACACATAACTATGTTCCAAATAGATTAAAAACCCTAACTCGTAGTTAAAATATAGTTATAAACCCTAATTTAAAACTACGTTAAAAAAAGATAAAAGACCTTATATTATAGCGTCAAATAATGTTAAAATTATATAGTTCGTTATTGGAACGTTTTTTTAAATCTTGAAATAGGGTGTTTGTGAATTGCAACGCTAAAGTTATAGCTAGCATGCTGATCGATTTGTAAAATTATCCGGTGATTTAGCATATGCAGGTCGATTTGGACAGTCCTCTATTTGAAGCTCGATCGAATTTATTTGAGTTTACAGCTTTTTGGCCGCGCGCGCTTTGCAAATAAAACCCAGGAACGCATAAATCATGATGATGTCCCTGTGCCACGTCTGACTCACTCGGGTCCCATCCGTCTCTCCAAGTCTTCGCTTTTAAAAATCCATCTGTCCTCCATTACCCGAAAACCAATGCCCCCTCCCTCCTCTCCCGAACAATTTTCTTTTCTTTTCTTTTCTTTCCTTTCTCAAAATAATTATTAAATTAATAATTAATAATTAATATAATTTTGTTTATTCCTATATATACCCCTCACAGCGACAAAAACAAACACTCGTGACTTCTACCCACTTCACACTCTCACTCCACCCACCTCCAGTAAAATTCAAAAAATGCCTCAGCACCACCGTACCGGCTGGCTTCCTCAGCCACCGGCTCCGGTGCTCCTCCTCCTCACCCTACTCACCCTCTTCCTCTCCACCTACCCAGCAATCGCATGGCGCCCCTGGCCCGACCTCAAACACAACACCTCCGACCTCCTCGGAGACAACAAAAAATTCGAAGGCTCCTCCGAATTCGTTAAACTGCGCTACCACATGGGCCCTGTCCTAACCGCCAACATAACCGTCCACACAATCTGGTACGGCACGTGGCAGCCGGCCCAGAAGAAGATCATCCGCGAGTTCATCAACTCGATCTCCGCCGCTGGCTCCAAACGCCCCTCGGTCGCCGGGTGGTGGAAGACCGTACAGCTGTACACCGACCAGACCGGCGAGAACATCTCCCGCACGGTCCACCTCGGCGCAGAGAAAAACGACCGGTTTTACTCCCACGGTAAAACCCTGACGCGCCTCTCGATACAGTCCGTGATCAAAAGCGCCGTAACGGCCAAAACGAGGCCGTTACCCGTCAATCCCCGGAGCGGGCTCTACCTCGTGCTGACATCTGATGACGTGTACGTCCAGGATTTCTGCAAACAGGTCTGTGGGTTCCACTACTTCACCTTCCCCTCCCTCGTCGGATACACTCTGCCGTACGCGTGGATTGGAAACTCGGCCAAATTGTGTCCAGGTACGTGCGCGTACCCGTTCGCCGTACCGGATTACATCCCGGGGTTAAAGCCGTTAAAGTCACCTAACGGTGACGTGGCAGTCGACGGGATGATAAGCGTTATCGCGCACGAGATTGCTGAGCTGGCGAGCAACCCGTTGGTGAACGCCTGGTACGCGGGTCAGGACCCGAGTTTTCCGGTCGAGATAGCTGATCTCTGCGAGGGAATCTACGGTACGGGAGGGGGCGGGTCGTACACGGGTCAGCTGATGGACGACCACGATGGCTCCACGTACAATATGAATGGGATCCGACGGAAGTTCTTGGTTCAGTGGGTTTGGAGCCACATTTTAAATTACTGTACCGGACCGAATGCACTCGATCAGTAAAACTTTCGGGTTTTTACGGTTATAATTCCTTTTTTACCTTTTGTTTCTATTTATGGTTTGTTTTTGTTTTAACTTTGTTGGGTTTTTTTGGCGGGTTTGGGTCTTTGGGTCCGTGCTGTTGACAAAGCCTTGTCCTTTTGTTGATGCATGATTAGTTAAGGTAGGTAAGTTTGTTAATTATGGTAATAATGATATATATATATTTTGTATACTGGTTTTGTATACAAATAGCCGTACTTTATTTACATATTTTCTTAATTTTCGGCTGTTGTTGAAGATAAGTGTGTAAATAGTTCTACTAATTAGATGTTATTGCAAAAGCCAAAAGATTGAATAGATATTTTAGGACAATATTTTAGTTCGAACGTGTCAACTTTTACTATATTTTGATGTATAAGATATTTCGAAGCAAACTATAAAAAATTTCGAACGTAAACCCATAACCCTCTATGTGTACTCTTCCATTTGGTACGTGCTCGAAGAGAAGAGGAAGCGTGTTATAATATTACTTATGATTGAATAGAGATGGAGTATTGATCCGTATGACCTAAAAGATTTCATTGGCTAACTATTATCCAATATCACAACGACCATTTAGTTTAGCGGCACTCAGATTATTTGGTCAAGAAAATTTTATATTTGTGTTACATGAGTCTGGGAAGCGTAAATTGGATATTAAGTTTTAAGTCATTCGAGCATTGTAAAAGTTCAAAATATTTTAGAATCACACAAAAAAATATAGACGCAGAAGATTTGAACTCATAGATCCGAGACTAGAAAATGTATAATACCTAATAAAGTAGTAGTACTATGGGTTTTGTGTACTCGCTCGATATATTTAGTGCTCATTACTTGCGATTATTAGGTTTGGTGGACTTTCGACCGACCTCTGCCTTGTGCCCTAGTGACAAGTGGAGTTTTAATTTCTTGCATTAACCAAATTTAATCGTATGAATTATTCACACTGGTTTTCGAAATGCTGTCTTGTTAAATTGATTTGGTGTGAAAAATTGAAAACTAGTAGATTGAAAGACATCTGATTATTCTTGTTCTCAATTGTGTGGGTTTTGCTTTGGTGAGGTGTTCCATGTTCGGAATTTAAGAATAGAAAGATTCAGATCATTCATTTTTAATTTAATAGCCGTCATTTGACTATCGCGATAGCCCACTTCACACAAATCAAGAGTCTGAATCTTTCTCTCTTGCTTTAACAATCCAGATCTCCTGATTCTTAGATTTCGAACACAGAAATCTGAATAGAATCTTGATTCTCTTGAGGGTAGATCTCAATTCTTCATGAAGGTGATTGTGATAACTATAATAGAATATTTGACAATAATTGTTTATCCACTTTTTAATTTCGAAATTATTGTTTTGATCTGCCCTTTTTTTTTCTTTCTAAGTTCCACTTTCATCATTACACATAGGTTAAGTGCACATAATTATAATTAATTGCCACATTTTTTTAATTAACCCATCAAACTGTTTCCTATATTATCATCGCTTTTGTGATTTCACCCTAGGATAGACAAGATAATAGGCCCTACATCCAGGATTTACTTTATATGTAGGGTTTGTGTGTTAGAAATAACAACTTTAATCTCCTAATGATAATCGTTATTTGAAACTGATGGAGTGTAATGCATAAGAACTCGCCCCTTGAGAAGGGAACAACATGAAGAAACAACTACTCATTTTTGGCTATGAAATCGGATGAATTGAAGAAGATCAAATGACAGAAATTAACATGAGGTACGTGAGAAGTAAAAAGTGGTGTAGATGGTACACTCCAACCACTTGGCACGCCCCATTTTAGTCACGTTAAATAGACTTGTAAAAAAAAAAATGAAATTTCAGGTTGTGAAAGAACCTTATATTTATATTACGGTAACTCCACCTATTCGATTGTCGAATCAATTGTTACCTACAATAATCTCAAGACAAAATGAGCCAAATATTCATGTGAACCCTACACAAGCTGCCTTTTGTACATGTATGTTGTAACCTTACAAGAATTTCAATCTAATCTTACACTGACGAACAGTCAAAACGCTTGCGTGGTGTCCATATCGGATATCAAATTTAAAGGACCCCCTCCGAAACATGCAATAAAATTTCCAACGTGAATGCATCACTTGATTTGGTAAAGATCGATTTCATTGCCATCCACCACGAGACTCAGATTCATAAATTTGGGAACGAAATGAAAGTTCGATCGGTTGCTTTCATAATGTTTTTGCGCGCATGTTTAAAGCATGCATGTCAGTCTTAGACAACTATACCTGTGCATTTCATTTCATGAAAACACTTTTGGCTCACTATATTTTTTTCCTCTTTCGGGTCCCACCTTTAACTAATCTCCTTTGGTTTTTCCTCTCAATTTTCTTATAGTCGAGATTATCTCCCGATCTTTATGTTTGGAGTCCTAAGATCCGAACATTTATGCTGTTGGAGAGAGACAAATAGATCTGGATCCTTACTTTGTGTGAGATGTGTCTATAAAATAGGTTAATAAGGACCGTAAAATTTAAAATCAGATTACGAACACAAAAATTTGTAAAGAATCTCAATTCATTTCTTAGGTTAACCTGATAGGGATTTGAGCCACGAGTCTTCTGATGTACGAGTACCTTTTTTATTTTTATATTTTTTTGAAAAATTTAATATTGCATGCTTTATGAAAAGGAAATCTTCAATAAAAAGAGCCCAAAGAGGGGCGCATCTTGTTGTGTACTCGAACGAAACAAAGGCAGAGGTGACAGGTGAAGGTGAGAGGGCACCAATCCATCGACCAAAGCTGCCGCTTACTGTTTTGTGTTTCCACACTCTTAACTTGCCCACCAAGATCTCCAATTTGACTGGGGAGGGAGCTCCAATCTGTTTGTGTTTAAAACTTCTAAGAATTGGACACCAGCTTTTGTGTGGTGTGTAGAAAGTTACGTGCAATTGGGACGAAAATGTAGTGGTATGTTTTAAGCTTATTACGCTTGGCCGCATGTGTCTGAAACAGCATAACTTATTAACATATTGTTACGTAGTTGGTTTAAGATATCATTGTCTTGGCATCCTAATTCCGCGCAAGTTCTTTTCGTAGTGTTGGGTTTTAAGACGAACTCAATTATAAGAAGAGTTTACTACGTTTAACCACTCACTTATTAATTGTTGATTTCTAATTATAAATTTGTGTAAGTCCCATAATAAGAAGTTTCGCATGCATCAACGGTTAAGAATTACATGCGAGAATGCACAACAAATTTTAACATTCTGCTATTGGCATGAATAATTTAATAGTAAAACGATAGTACGAAGTGTCTCATCGAATCCTCGTCGGATCCTTTCCTAGGGATGTTAGGAATTTCGTGATTGTGACCGTTTATCGTATATTGTGCGGTCAGAAATTATTTTAAAATTAAATATAAATAGTACCTAACGAAAACTAATCACACAATGTACGATGAATAATCACGATCATGGAATTCCTTAGATCCCTAGAAAGAAAAAAATCCGATGAGGATCCCTTTCCAGCCAATTAGAGTTTACCCCATTTCCAAGTTCCAGCAGTCAAAATTATGCGTTTGGATTTAAAAGAGGAAAACCAGCTGGCTCTCACTCTTATCTGCGTCAACTTGCAAATTGAAAAATCCAAACTTTAAAGACATAATTACAATTTTGCCCTGAAAAATATAGGATGATTAGGATCCACAGTAGTACTTAACACTTTGATTAGTTTAATCAATATTTGAAACATGATTAAGTTAAGGAAACTAAAAGAGGCAGCGGCGCCTGCAGCACGACCTTTGACGTTTAAGTGTTTTAGTGTATAAAATATGTCCAACTTTTTTATGCTTTTGCTTTGTTTTTTAATCCCTAATCAGTGTTCTCACCTTAGGGTTCCCAGTACATAATTTATTACAAGCTCTTGTTAATCTGTCGTGTTTATTTTCAAATATGACACTGTTTCGTAGACGTGAATTACGTCATGTCATTTTACATGTCCGCTTATTCTCGGTTAGAATCTTCCTCACAATTGATTTGTATACAAGTCAAGGCAGATGAGTCAGGCTGTGTAAATTGGGTTTTCTTGAGTTATTACAAGGGAAGCGATAGAGATTTTTTAGTGTGCTCGGAACACGAGACGGAACATCATATGTCATTATACATTTAGAGGAAGTTTTTTTTTTTTTTTTTTTTCAAATGTCTCTCCAATTGCATAATGATATGTGGTGTTTCACTCTATGATTTGGATACACTGAAAAATCTGTCAGGATCTAGAGGTGGAGATCATTGAGTTGTCCACATTGATTAGAATTTAACGAAGAATAATTAGAAGAGGGGGACCTCAAAAGCTCATTTCCATCCAATTCTCACACAAATTTGATTGAGCCAACTGCCACGCGGCTAATCAATGATTGGGTGGTGGCCCTCTTGCCAAAAATTGACACTAGATCTTTTTTAGAGGCAGCTGGAATAGGGTGGTGGCTCTAAAAAAATCTTGTAAACTCCAAACATTGCGGATTGATTAAAGCTAGAAGTGATTCTCATACTAAGAGATGCTCTCGCGAAACTAAGTTTACTCCAGTGATGTTACCGTTTAATAAACACTTGTAACGTATTTCAAAAGCGCATTACAAGTTTTATAGATAATTATCATACGATGAATTAGCGACGTAAAGAAATCTCTCTAGACGAGAAAAACTTACATCAATCATATTCTTCTATTCCTCTCATCGGGTGAGTCACATGAGAGAGAGAGATAGAGTGAGTCGATACGGTATAGTTCCTTTAATTTGACTAGTGAAACACTAAATTTTACTTTAACACGGTAAATAATAGCGTTAGTTATGTATAAAGCACCCCAAAAGTTCAAGTAGATCAGAACTCAAGAGTCAAATATACGAAGGAAAAAAGTACAGTTAGAACAACGACCGGCGGTCCTACTCCAAGGGACTATACCGGCAACGGCGAGCGTCTTTTGTGCCCGGCAGCCATGGACGGCGATCTGTCTTTTTCCAAACCATTAGCACAAACATAAACTGTCCAGTTGCCTGTCTCATTCTCTCTACCTAACCAAAGACATGGATTCAAACAGAGATTAATGAAGTTTCTTCTTCACTTAAGTGACTGACTAAATGGTTATACCTCATCCGAAAAGATCGTAGACCGCCCTAAGTTGATATAATCACAGAAGATAGGGTGTCCCGGGGTTAGTAAAGTGGACTTAAGTTGATATAATCACAGATCTCACAGTGAACTGTGATAAGCACAATTACAATTCACTGGTGGGAAAAGTACTTTTCAGTCATTGAGTTCATGACCAACTTCATGAATATCTATCTAAGATGAGGGCCAATAGACAAGTGGAATGGCTACAACACTGCAATATGGAAGAAGAGGAGGAAGTGTAAGCAGATCACAAACAAGTAATCCATTCATTAGGATGACAGGATGAAATACTGAAATTTGCACGAGATAGTCGGCCTTTTTCTAATGCTAAAAATGACTGAAGGGTGCGCAAGCATGGTATAAGCAACACAAGTAAAAGGCACCGCGAGATGATAGGAAGGGCAAGATCACAGGATTGTGTACGGAATCTGTCTTGAGCTGGATAGTCCAGTTACAGGACAGGTCATTCACTCATGTGGGTTCTCCTCGATAGGGTGTGAGACCCATGTGATCCAACGGTCTACCTGTTACTGAACTTATGCTATATGACTATTTAAAAGCAACATCGTTCCGAGTATAGCTTGTAGAAATTAATGAAGGGATGGATCACAGAACTGCTTTAAGAACAAATGGAAAGCAGTTTGCGATTTTTTAGCTAATTCATCTTCCCGTAAACCATGAAAGCACTACAAGTACAGCCTTAAAAAGCTACTGAATTGTCCCCTCATTTACCTGAAAGTTTGTATCTATACAAAGTGAATATCATTTCTGACCTTTAAGTTCCTCATTCTGCAGATACTTCACCGCTCCATATACAACACTTCCAGCAACAAACAAGCCGACTGTCGGTGTAAAAGATGGATATAAATACTTCACAAGGAACTTGTCCCAATCTTCTGGCAGGAAGCCTGAAATGAAAGCGAACAAATTAGTCACAATATGAAGAAAACACAAAGCATACCTTAACGAATCAATTATAGAAATAACTTCCATGATTTTATTATATCCGAGCCTTTTCCTCAACATTCAAGTAATCGATCATAATGCATAATGTACTGCTTTTTGAGATACGTGAAGAAAGGATGCATTAATACTCCTTTAATCGGAAGGTTCAGCTGATTATATTATGATCCGAAAGGAATGTGTTTATGAGGTTGGATTCTCAATAGAGAAGTTTGGGACACAGAATCTTTGTCATTTGGAAAGCTATGCCCATTATGTTCTATATCTTATGTGACTAATAGTTCATAGTTCGAAGATTCCACGAGGATATAAATGGTCTTTCTGTGCAAACTCTTTCCAATAGATGATATTCTCAATAACTTGTTAGGTTTTCCAGTCATAGGATGATCAGTGAGAGTGGAATATTATTCAACTCCGATCTCAAGGTCAGCCGCTTGTTTGGACAAACGTTCTTAAACCTAAACAATGTGTGCATTATCCACGGCTGATATGTCTTACCACCTAAGAGGACGGCTGACAATGACTCAAAATACCGAATTCGATTCTAAATGATGAAAATTGAGTCCTGACTGGCCAACATGTTGGGACTGAGAACAAATGGGTAAAACCCTAAACTAAAACCACATTTCTTTTGGACCAACAAGGTCTAGTCTTTTATTTGTTGTAGTGTTTTTTCTGCTAGACAAAACATTATCGGATGCAAAATTCTACTTCCAGCATATAACCCAATACAAATTTTGCCCCGGAACTCGAATCACAAGGTCGAATTCAAAGTCACATTTACTAGGATTCTCGTTACCAGACCTTATAAATCTAGCAAGTCAATCCTGGATAACTGAAAACACAATTCAATATCGACCGAACCAAACAATTTGACAATTTAAACGGTTCAAACTTATCGACTCCTACAGATTTAACCAAATGCTAACAAAAAAAAATCCAACCTTTACAAAATACCCAACAAAATTTTCACATATTTCGCATCCAGTCAATCACAATGAATGCAAAGGTTTAAGCAATCGTACCTGATGCGGCGAGAATAAGGCCTTGGGCTAGAATAACACCGCCGAGCCCCAACCAAGCAAGAACAAAAGCGCTCTCATTTGTGCCCATCTCTTTGGCCTTAGCCTCATCTTCCTCAGAATAAAGCAGGGGCTTTTCCACCGGCGACCTCCGAATCACCGCAGCCCTGTTCCCTTTCTTCTTATCAGCGGCGGGATTCGCTTTTGGCTTGGCCGGAGAAGGAGGAGGAGAGCCGAAGCCTGTCCCGGCTGAGGTGGGTTTCTTGGGTGGGACCTGGCGGCCTCGGGGGGGGTTTTGAGGGCTCCGATGGCGTCTGGGACTTCACTGTGAAATGGCTTCTGGTTGAAAAGTGAAGCAGAGGAGGAGTGTGAGGAAGGTGATGATGATAGGGTTTGGTGGTGGGAGAAGAGGGACTGTGAATTAGCGCCATTTTCAGTTTAGTTCGTTGGTAGAAGATTTGCTTTATTTTTGCCCGTTCTGTGTATTTTCGGCTTTCAAGGTAAACGACGTGTCGTTTACTCTTGACCAGCAAAACGGAAAGAGATTCTTGCCGGATCTTTCCCTCCAAAGAACAGGGATCAAGTGATTTAGACCTTTAAAATTTAATCAAACGGCTAAAAACAGAAAAGTTAGTAAAAACTTTTAAAAGATATAATAATTTGTAAGGAGAGGAAAAGATCCAAAGACGATATCTTTCCCAGCAAAACAGTTAGGTATAAGTGTAACGGCATTTTAGGCCCTCCAAGTTTGGTACGGTTATCAAAATGAGGTCATTGCCCGCACGACGAACTGCCCGACGAAGTGAATTCTATTATTCGTGAATGGATAGTGAACCGGGGCAGTAAACTTCCGGCTGCTAGCTTCGAGTAGTTTCTGGGTAGAAGGGAAGGATTTTTCCCAGTTGTTGTTCATCTCTTCTTGTAAAAATAATCAATCAATTAGTAGGAACCTGTAACTAAATTTTTACCCTTCACAATCTGTAACATAATTCTTTACGTAAATGATCTGTACCGTTGATTCTTTTTCATCCATGTCAAAATTCAAATGCAAGTTTCTAAAAATCAAATGCCTTTATGCCATAACAACTCCGAGCGGAATCCAGAGCTGCTAACCCCAGCCGGCAAGCTCGACATTGCCTCCTTGCCTCCTAGAAGAGGAGCCCTTCATCTCCCTCAGTTTCATTCCTCCTGTTGCTGTTAGTTCGCTAGTTCTTGAGAGCTCGAATGTTCACAGCAGCGGCTGTTCACTATACCTTCACCCCCAGCTTCATTTCGTCGCAAAGGCAGGTGATATCAGGAACTATTCCTCCGTTACAATCCCTCAAAATTCCATCTCCTACAAGACCGTTTAACAAATCAGCTGGATCTTTTGCTCCCCCATGCTGTAACAACTTTGTTCTTAAAGCAGTTCCCGTAGTTAATGATAGTGGATCCTCGTGACACAGCTTCTGCCATATCGTTGCGGCAAAACATCTGGCGTATAAGTAGCTATAATAACCTGCAAAATAATGTACGCTTATCAGCCATGAAAACGAGCTTGGATACAATAATGAGGGTATTATTTATAATAATTTTCCTGATTTGAGGTACTTCTAAAGCTCAAAGTGGATCCCAGACACTTGCAAGCAACCTGATGAAGATCGGATTGCCGATTTTCAAGAGTGATTTACACACAAGAAGTTGTACTACTGAACACAGCATTACTAATTGGCCATGTGAACTTTTTGAATTTCCCTTCTATATGTTTGAAAAAAATTCAGCATACCTGCACCATAATTCAATAGGTGACTGAATCGGGTCTCCCAGTGGGTGTCCTCCACATGCTTCCAACTAGTATACTGTCTTTTCAAATCCGCAACGATAGAGCTTGTTGGTGGGGTTGGCTGTTCCCCGAAGAATGTTTGGTCAATAGCAGCATAAAAAATCTGATGAACAGAAAACAAGCAAGTAAACATGGGTCAATATTCCTTCTTTGTGGTTTCGCAACTTTTCTTCCATCAGTAAAAATTGGTCAAGTGGTATCGATTTAGATAGTCCTTGGACAATAACCTGACGTTGCAATTCAGTTGCAGCAAACATTTTTCTGGCACCCTGCATTGACTCTACAAGTTTCTTAGGGATAATTTCACCAGTTGAATAGTGTTTGGCAAATGTCTTCAAAACTCGGTAATCCCATGAAAAGTACCTAGACATAGCGCCAGAATTATTGTCAGCGCATTACCAACCTATCTTCACGAAGGTTATTATCAACAAAACATTAAATATTTTATCATCAAAATCGCCAAAATGGACTACCGTTTCTAACAGTGATAATTCAGAGAGTTACACACATTAAAACCATCATGTCAAATATATTCAACCACATCGTCATATTAAAAGGATGATCGGAAAATAATCAAAGCATTGAACTTACTCAAAAAGGTTTGAAGGTGTTTCCGCTAAATCAAAAATCACCCTGGTACCTGAAAAGTGTTGGTAATCCTGCCAGAAATAATAAAAAGTTGACTATTAATTCATGAAAAGGAAGAGGAAATGATGTAGATATTGTACTTCCCAGTCATAAGGTGTTTCTAGAATACCGTTCTTGAAAGCAACGAATGGAGAGCATGTCCAAACTCATGAAACAGAGTTTCCAGTTCGAAATGATTTAGCCTCGCAGTTGATGAATGACATGAAGCAGAAAAACTGCATACAAGAGCAACAACCTGTGCACCAAAGCAGAGTTTAAACCCAATGAAATAAGCGATGATGTAGTAAATCATTGAATGATTTTATTGTTGATGTTCTGAAATAGTCTGTCACTTAATTCAAACCTTTTCACAAAGAAGGGGAATTAATTCCAAAATACTATGTTCTCACATCCAATAGGAGAGTTTCTCCAATACAAATGCAAAACCGCCATAGTGTCAACAGTTTTAAGGTCCAAAAAAGCACTTAAGAGTCCCTAATTCGCTTTATTCCATTTTCAAGAATCTAACTAAGAATTATCAAGTCTACTCTTTAGTCTTTAGAAAGACGCATAATATGAAAAATAAAAGTCAAGTAAAGCAAAAATATTTACATACAGGAAGTTGATATTCTGATTCAGAAACCCTGCGGCCACCTTTAATTGCAAAATGAGCACAACCTGGATACTTGCCCTTCCTTGAGTACAAATCAAGGTACAGATACCCCAAATCACCCTGTAACAAGTACATAGATCCTGATGAACATACGTGTCACAGAAGACAAAACCAGTACAATGATATTCAGGCATGAACAAGAGTTTACACAGAATTATGCATATAACTGAAGCATTCACAAAGCTTTAAATTCTCTTTAAGTGTATAACATATATATATATATATGTGTATATAAAACATTCACGTCCATTATTATCCATGTGAATACCTCTTCAGGATGATGAAGTGCCATTTTACGCACATCTGGGTGCCATGATTCACCTGGTGCTAGGGGGATGCTATGAAGCGTAGCACCAAATAATGATTCAACCAGCACTTTCAAACCCTCGATACAATGTGGAAGAGAAAAATACGATGCAACAACCTGCATTGGTGAGAAAGAGAATCAAGATAACTCCCCTTGCTTCCATACCCTCAATATGATGTGTTAGCAAGCAAACTTTGCAGTTCCAGTTGTTTACTTTAAAAGCAAACAGGAGAACAAAACATACCGAAGAGTCCAAGTCATAGGCAGAAGACTTCATCATTGCTGTGTAGTATGCCTCATCCCATGGCTCTAAATTACCAGATTGCTGACCACATTTTTCTCTCTTAAATTCCCTAATTTTTTTAAACTCCTACAGTAAAAGTGATCATTAAGAGACAAAAGCTGCAGTATGATATACAGCCAAAACAAAATTGCAGCAATTCTTACAAACACTACAAATATGTTTCCTAAGGACATAATACCTCATCAGCGCTAGGTCTGACCATCTCGCTCATCTCTTTCAAGAAAGACATCACAACTTCTGGGGATGAAGCCATGTTAGGCTTCAAGGTGTATTCAGCATAAGATCTATAACACATTATCTGCATTCATCAATAAGGCCAAAAAATGCCCATAAATACAAATACAACAGAATTAAACTGCATCACATGTTAAATATTTGGTAGGCACCAAATATGAAGATAACTAACCTGAGCTAGCTCATGACGGGCAGCTATAAGTTTATCAAGAACACCAAGGTTTGCACGAGGAACAGAGTTTCCCTTGATATATGCCATTTTCCTAACCTGAAACCAAATTCATTAATTAAAGAAAACAAAACAGAAAACATGTATCTGAAACTGGGAGAGAAACTTTAATGACATGCAATATATGGACCCACTGCCTCAACTCCCTTCAGCAACAACAATTCAGAAAACAAGAAAAAAATGAGTTTTTCTAAACAATGAAGTTACCTCATCATCTTGTGCCCCTTGCAATACACAGGATAGAGTATGTGGGTCTGTTGTTATACGAAATCCCTTTTCATTCATGTTACCCCTGGGCCTCAACGATTCCCTTGAAATTACAGATGTGGAACGATAGATGGGTTTAAGGAGATGGTGCAAATTTTGAGGTATACGTGATGCTGGGAAAATATCTACAGCACCTGGGTCAGTGTCAATATTTATATTGAACCTGCGCCAAAAACAAATGCAGTTGAAGCAAAGGTAAGTCAATTATACAAACTCGTTAAAAAGTAAAAATAAAAAGATGGCACAGCATCAACAAGCAATTAAAAACAAATCTCCAACAACACTACGTGGCATAATTTGAATATGATACATCTGGACCTAAGGTTCAATAGAAAATGGGCGGAAGGGGCCCAAGCTATGTCCATGGTCAAATATTACAAACAGAATAATTGTGTGGCATCATTAATCATACAAATGGCATCATTAATCATACAAACCAGTAGAAATGAACTCATTTTCCTAACCCGATAGCAGTCCTAAAGGCCCTAACTATTGGAAAAGTAAATTAAGTAGTGTACTTACTGTCTGCACAGTTTGGAAATTTCTGTATTCAGCTCATTCACTCTATCCAATTTCTCTGCAAAGCGTAAGTGAAATGTTATTTGACTGAAATAAAATCCCTGCCGCAACAGCATCATAAAACAAGAAGAGAAAAGTAAATACCATCAGAAAGATGAATTCCACCCTTCTCAAAGTCAAGGTGGAGGAAATGTGCAACCCTTTGAGCTTCGGCTGTAAGCAATTTGCCCTCTTGCTCAGCTTTTTTCACGGCATTATACAAAGTATGATTTGTATTCAGAAACTACAACACAGTGATTTAAAAAAAAAAAAAAAACTCAGACACTAGCAATGGCTCAGACACAATATAATTCACACAGACAACAAAATTGTGAGTAAAAATTTGCAAAGACGATTCACCGTCACCTCACATGTAGATATTCACTCATTCTCATGGATGCTTTGGTCGCCTCCTCAACGAATTCCCTAGTATACAAACATCAATACAATCAAAAAGCAAAAAAC